CAGGGTAGATAAATCTAAATCTGATGAACATTTTTGATACCTGTCATATTTGCTCTAAATGCTTTAGTTTCAGAGATATAAACCAAAAACTGCATTTGACCCCTATGTTCTATTTTTAACCAAGTCGGCCATGATGGTTGGAAGGCGGGGTCATCGGACAAATTTTTAAACTAGATACCCTAATAATGATTATGGCCAAGTATGGTTAAATTTGTCTCAGTAGTTTCAGAGAAGATTTTTGTAAAAGATTACAAAAATTTACAAAAAATTGTTAAAAATTGACTATAAGGGCAATAACTCCTAAAGGGGTCGACTGACAATTTTGGTCATTCGACTTATTTGTAGATCTTACTTTGCTGAACATTATTGCTGTTTACAGTTTATCTCTATCTATAATAATATTCAAGATAATAACCAAAAACTGCAAAATTTCCTTAAAATTACCAATTCAGGGGCAGCAAACCAACAACAGGTCAGGGCTGATAGATCTTGACCTGATAATCAGTTTTACCCTTGTCAGATTTACTCTAAATGCTTTGGTTTCAGAGATATAAGCCAAAATCTACATTTTACCCCTATGTTCTATTTTTAGCCATGGGGGCCATCTTGGTTGGTTGGCGGGGTCATCGGACACATTTTTTTTAACTAGATACCCTAATGATGATTGTGGCCAAGTTTGGTTAAATTTGGCCCAGTGGTTTCAGAGGAGAAGATTTTTGTAAAAAGCTAACGACAGACGACGACTGACGACGGACGACGGACGCCAAGTGATGAGAAAAGCTCACTTGGACCTTCGGACCAGGTGAGCTAAAAAGGGATAAAAATTAAAAAAATTAATAAAATTGTTCTTCTGATTAGTGGTGAAGTATAAAGTAATACCTCCTGTTTGGGGCAAACTCATGAAAAAGATCACACCTGGTCAGAGAGTATTAAATTTTAAATAACATTCATTCAAAATTGCAACATCCTGTGAAACTTAAATCGCAAGGCCTATTGAATTCACTAGATAAGTAATACACGAGTTTAAGAAAAATAGGGCTTTCTTTTTACCTGTAAAACACACATGTACTGAGGTAATTAAACCTTATTAAAGTACTTCTTGTATGCCATGTCTTTAATTTTGACAAAAATTATTTAAATTTAATTGAAATAACTTTTTACTGTAACTTTGGAACACATTTCCTTTTTTAAAAGTTTATCACAGGATTACTATAGAAGTTCTATTATCATGATTATATTAAATTCTTGGTTTAACAAAACAAAGGTGTCATTTTTAAAATTTATTAAGTTGCTTTTTATGCTATTTTATATATATTTTAATAAAAAAAAATGTTCACTGCATTATTAACTAAACTCAACTGACACCATAAATCTATACAAGGCTTAAGTAAATGGTGAAAATTGTCCAGTAACCATAAAATATATCTGAAACATTCAAAAAATTTTGAATAACATTGAAAATATTAGTCACAATTCAGTTTTGAGATTATTTGATCAGCTTGTTTTATTTTTATTTTTTAAGTGCCAGTCTTTGTAAGAATCAGGCAATTTTGAAAAAAATCAAAACATGTCCGAAAAAAAAACCACCGACCTAACCATTCTATTTTGAAGTTACCCTCATCCTGAGTTAGTTATGGTAGGTCTTTCGTTTCTGCGTGTCTGGTAATTCGAGAAATCTCTAGATAAATTTTGGTTAGAATGATAGCAAATTACGGAGTTAGCTCCCCTTAATTTTTCATTTCTAGTGCATTTCAACCAAATTATATCTTGAATTACCAGAACAGGACAAGGAAACGAATGTTATATTCATGCACCATTATACATTTTGAACAAAAATTAATGTCAACCTGAGTGGGTTTTTATTTGTCATGTTTTCACCACTGCCTGATTCTTAGGCAGATTGGCACTTAAAAAGGTGATATATATGTATGTATATAATTGTTGATGAATATGGTGATGAAGTTATATTATGTTTATTATGAAATTTTGGTTTCAATGCTATATTGAATACATTTTTAATTTCAAATTGTTGTTCAAATTTCTAGCCAGGGGAAAACAGTTCCTAAATTGATGAAATACAATAGATAGATACAAAAAATAGGTCTAGGTTGGTTAAGACTTGGTCGAGTATGGTTCAGACTAGGTCGAGTATGGTTCATACTAGGTCGAGTATGGTTCAGACTAGGTCGAGCATGGTTCAGACTCGTAAAAAATGGTTAAGTACTGGTCGAGTAAGGGTCGAGTACAAGTTCAGATTGTTAAGTATGGTTCAGACTACAGTCGAGTATTATCAAGTAAATTTCAGACCAATTCAGACTGGTCGAGTAAAAATCAGTACAATCGAGTACAGATATAGGCCATTTCAGACTTTTACTGGTTTGTAGTGTATAAAGGCCCTTTTTGTGTAATTTTTAACAGGTTACTAACTTTTTTTTCTTCTTAATTAAAGATTGAGTCAAACAAAACAAGTAACAATAAAAATATGCAATAACGCGTGAGTATCCTATCTTTAGTGTGTTTTGTTTATCATAGTTTATTTTACCCTTTTTTTTGCGTGAACCCCCTAAGGGGTTCATGCCTATATATTGGTGAGTTTTGGTAGCATCTATGGGCCATTTGGATATTCCCGGAATCAAGATTCTCGGAACCTCTCGAAAATTTTCGATCATTTTTACAGGTAGTTATTTATGTCTTTGATACGGTCCTTCTATGCATAGGCTACAACGTGACATTGTATATTTAAACAATCAAAGTTCATTTGTAGATCGGATAAAAAAAACAAAGACTAGGTTGCAGTAAAATAATCAGTTATATTTTATAACCAATTCGCCTTTTGACAAAACATATGTGTTTTTAATAATGCGAATGTTTATCAAATATCAAGTATTATGATAACGCAATTATATAATTTATGCTTTAAGGACGGTCCCTGTACGCGTTGTGTGTGTAGTATTTAATACAGCGTGCTGTTGTGCATTGTGACAATAAACCTGGGAATAGTTTATTAATGTATAATGTCCCAGAATAAACTGATTTTTTCTGAAAGTTTATCACGTGATATTTTGTATTACAATCATAGCCTAGGAAAATGTCGGAAAGCATGAAGAAAATTAACAAAACGATATTTCTGTTATACAGTGGTCGGAAGGCAAAAAAAATAATTAAACAAAGGATTTTGCTGTCAAAAACATTTAATTTCATTAATAGATACTACCAGACCAAGAGAATGTTCATTAAAATTATAAGTTTAAACTGAGATTTAATTTATCCTTAATAGAATATAATCAAAAATATTATACATTTACGAGTATTATGTCCCGCAGGTTTAAACAGTGAATACATTTATGAAAATTACATGCAACATATGAGCACCAATGAGCAGGTATGCATACACATAAGTTAGTATCTAAATTTTAAACGGTAGTGAATGATAAAATATATGCATGGTTTCAATTCACAAGGCCTGATTTTCAATCCTTGCAACATAGTTAATATTTTACAATAATCTTTAAAAATGTAATTACTACGTTAATTATTTTATACTGTTTTAGTATGGATTTATAAGTCTCTGCTTTTATTTTGTATAGCAATATATTCATATGATGGAAAGTAAGACTTAGAGATTGATTTGATAAATAAAATGTTCATACTTGACGTTTGTGTTTATTGATATTACATTCTATTTTTTTTAAAAGATTCATTAACAGGAATGAATGTTAATAATTAAATTTCAATTCTTTTTTTTTTTTTATTAATAGTTCAACCTTATAGCATCTAAATATTTGCAATATGGTACGATTTTGAAAATTGTATGCATTGTGTTGACCAGCTATCCTACACGTCTTGGTTCATTTACATTATATACCACCCTGTTCACACGACACACTATCGGTTTGCGTTCACACAAATTCCGGATTAAATGGCAATGAATCCGAAGTCAAAACACTTCAGGTATGTAGTTTAACATCAAAATTAAGCTATTAGAAACATTAGACTTGAGCCTAGATTAATATTTGTGATGACGCAAATGCGTATTCTTATCCAGAGTATCAATGCGTATGCTTTCTATCTATTATTTCTAGCGCCAAAAAAAAACAGGTCAAAGAATTGATACAACAAATTAGAGCATATTAATTTAGAGAAGATATTCTAAATCTTTTTTTTTTAAATCCGCTTTTGTTTATCTTTTGAAACAAAAAAGTTATGTATATTTGTCCAGAGGATAGATACTTCCAAGAAACTGAAATTTTGAGTAAATGTAAAAAAAAATTCTATCCCATTTATCTCTAAAAGTAGCACATGAAGGTATGTTTTTTATAACATATTTGATTGACTAGATGAAAAATAGCTTGTATGCAAAATTTCGTCAATTATTCACCGTGGGATCGAAACTGTATTGTATGCCCTTAATATGAATTTGTTTGAAAAAATTGTTAACAATCCCGCCACTTGTACAATATGGACACAATATGAGATCTAAGGTTTCCTTATCAACATGATAATTCAAAATTAATTTCTTAACATATTTTTCTCTGGAACGATTTAGCTAATAAACACAAAATATTGTTGCAATCATCCTTAGGGTAACTACTTGAAACATTCATATCGACGTAGTATGATAGCCGTTGTTTAAATTAAAATTAAGGAAATGAATAAATGAAATTAGAAGTAAATAAAAATCCTTGAAAAATGTAAAAGCTCTGGTAACTAAATTTCTATATATAAACAGATTAATTGATTAATTTTAACACACGCCGTAAGTTAAATATAACGTCTTCCTACAACTTAAGCCATGTTATATGCAAATACTGGCACAATGCATATTGCAGAATGTTCATTGCTATGGTTTTAACATTTTAAACAAACGTTGTTAAACATGCTGAAACAATAGAAAGGTCCTGTAATAACTTATATGTACCAACCAGCTGCTTCTATCGCACTGGATATATAAACTAGTCCTGAATCATACTCATCGTCATCCTCACTATAATCGTCACAGTGAAGTGTTTAAAGACAGGTTTTACAGACAACCATGAAGTTATTCGGAATCATAGTCCTTGTTGCTTTGTTGATGGTAGCATCAGTTACAATGCCAGTTGGTAAGTAGAAAAAAGCAGCAGCAATGGTATTGAATGCCGGGCTTCAAATTGGGGCTTTGCCTATAATTTAGTTTTATGTGTTATGCTTTTATCCTTCCTTTAGCCTTGGTGTTATCCATCTTTCATCGAAGCTTTGTAGTATTTGTTTGCTACTTGATATTTCTCCCCTTTTTGTCCAATTAAAAAATTTTCGTTTTTGCAAATAATACAAAAAGGTTACCTATAATGTCCCTAAACTGACGAATTTTCAGTGAATATCAACAAAGCTGGAATAAAGATATATAACGTAAACGTTCGTCTAAGTTCAGAATATATCAATTTAAACATGAAAATGCAAAAATACAATACTTATACATAGTTAAGGCAAATTTTTAATTAATTTTTGTACAGAAATTTTTACTAATTTTTCAAAGGTTTTGATAATTTTTATGTCTCAAAACTCTTTTTGTTTTTTGTTATTTTCAAAATGCGCTTTTCAGAACATAAAGATATTTAAAAAAAAAACCTACCAAACCTATCCCCCTCCCCAAGTAAAGATCTCATTTGAGACTTGTATGGAAATAGTTTTAAAAAAACGAATAATGTTCCCACAGTTTGTGTTGAATGAAGTTGTACTCAGAAAGCAAATGAGTTATCTGTCGACTATTGTATGCATCGACTCTGATGATAAACATAGATTATTTATTCAATATAATGATAATTACAGCTGCCTCTGGAAAATATAGGAAAGGATATAAAGGGTATAAAGGAAGTCATTCTAGTGGAGGACATTCTGGTGGAGGGGTAAGTGGAAAGTAAAATCACAAAAATACTGAACTCCGAGGAAAATTCAAAAAGGAAAGTCCCCAATCAAATGGCAAAATTAAAAGTTCAAATCACATCAAACGAATGGATAACAACAGTCATATTTCTGACTTGGTACAGGCATTTTCTTATGTTGAAAATGGTGGATTGAACCTTGTTTTATAGCTAGCTAAACCTCTCACTTGTATGACATTCGCATCAAATTCCATTATGGAACTATTCTTATCTATTCTAGGATTTCGGAAAATTGTTTTCTTTTCATTATACGGAATACACCTGCTTATTATATTCTAATTAAAATTATATGAATTTGTAGTCAGTGACAGGTTTTTAAATATATTGATAAAATATGTTATTCTTTCTTTATATTAGTTAATATGAAAAGATTTAACTTTTGTCAATAACAACTTTCTCATCTGTTAATCTGTGGATTTCAATACTATGAATAATACCCACGAATGTGAAAGCTATCAAGCAACAAAAGACAATAAATATATATGTCACACGGTATTCAAGTGTGTTTAAGGTTTGTCAGCCTCTTAATGCTCCGAATATAATAAAATGTTTTTGAAGAGATACACACAAATATCTGCATTCTACGTGATTACAATAGCAATATATAATAGAGAAACAAATAATACGACAATAAACCTGAATGTATAAGTTTATCTGTTTCTGCATCAGCATAACGTTTTTAAACTCCTGTTAAAAACAAAACAAAAATGTTTTAAAAGGTGCTGATGCTATATGAAATTATTATAGTGTATGACTAAATTTTGTGAGGAAGATAAAAACTACCTTTAAAATTAATGTTCAAAGTGACATGTTTATGTTTACAAATAGGCAGATCGACGGTTTTTGACGTCATTTCATCACTTGTTTTATTTGGGATAAATATGAATAATGACATCAAATGATACGACTCAAAAATGATATTTTAGAAATACGATCATAACTATTATAGTTACCGACAAACAAAAGTAATTTCATTATTTCTTGATTAACTCTAACCTAGAATGTCCATCCTTGTCGTTATTAAAATTTATTGGTATCTAATAACATTTCCAGTTCTGACATATTACGCCCATGACAAATTTTGACAAATAAACCAGTAAAGGTCAATCAATATTGAATTTATCAAATCGAATTGCGTAAGATCCCATAACGCTGACCATTCCATATCAACATGAATCTTAGGGGTAAATCTTGTAAGGAGTAAATGACGAGTTTTAAAGATATTTCCTGTTAACAGGACCAACAAATATTTATGGTGGGTTAAACCTGGTTTTAAAGCTAGCGAAGCCAGTTGTTTATAGTTATATAGACACAATTAGGTGAGCAACCCAAGCAAACATAATTGGTTAATATGACAATACTTTGGATACAGCAGCCAAAAATGTGTAAACATGCATCACAGAAATACAACACAACTGACTTAAAATATACATGAATTTGTATTTACAGCACAGTGGGCATGGCGGTAAATATCACGGTGGAAGTTACCGATATAGAGGATGATACTTTAAAAACAGAAATAATTGTTCTTATTTGAAATGAATAAAATAATAACTTGTTGATATCTTTATTACTGAAAGCTAAGTCAAGGTATGTGCCAAATTAGGTGACAAGTCACATTCGATGCTGTTAACCCGTTTCAATCGTTGAAAAAAAGACGGGATTGTGAACATATACATGGTCATTTGTAACAAAGATATTCCATAACGGTCTATCAACTCTTGATTGTAAGGTTGACATCAACTTACATGTAACCACTTGCTTCCTTCTATGCAAAAACCCTCTATCCAGGAAGCATGATAGGAAACACAAGATCTTAAAAATTAGAGGATATCTACTCCGTATGCAGGCGATGTATGAATGAGTCTATATAGACATAGCAATTTCATAATTGAGAAGCTAACATCATCCCTTTTGTAGTAAAGGTTAATTGTTCTCAACCCAAAATATATGGAAAAGATATGGAGTAAATTGTACACAAACAGATAGTTCAGGGTAATTCATGTATAATTTTATCCATTCTGTTTTTGGTTTTTAGCAATCAAAGAACGAAAAACAAAAAACGAAACTGTTCTCGTTTTAGATTTTGATATGTTAAAACAAAAAACAAGAAATAGAAAACTCTACTTAAGCCTTCGGATCTTTTTTATTGGTGGAAATCTAAGATAATAAGAATTGTTGACTAATGTCCATCAACCAATATTACATGCATATTCAGGACGATAATAGGTTATATGTAAAATAGATAAATTCTAAATAAATCCGCAAGTTGACACTTTAAGTCGTCGTTTAGCAGATCATCTTGGGAATCACAAGGAAACAGTTCAAACGAACAAAGTAACAATAATCTGGCACATTATTCAAACTATCGTCTGACTTAAATGATATTAAGACAAAGAGGTGTGGTTTGTATTGCAAATGAAACAACTATCCACCAGTGACTAACAAATTTCTTATACGTAGAAATATTTCCGATCTAGTCATAAAATAATGGTATTAATTATTTTTGAAGTGTTAAAAATTCTTTAGAGGTTTAAGATAAAATACGTGCTTTTGATGGTCCTTTTTATTCTGTTGACAGTTATGATTTTTCTACTCTCTACACTACACTTACACACAATCTTATCAAGAAAAAGTTTTTATATTTAATTAAATGGTCTTTTGAAAAATCTCATTGCAAATTTATTTGCTGTAACTCGTTTAAAACCTTTTTCTGTAACGAAAAAGGAAAGTATGCTAGATACACTTACTGGAAATGTGAAGATATGATTGAAGCTTTAAATTTTCCCCTGGACAACATATATGTATGTTTCGGTGATAAAGTGTATCGACAGGTAGTAGGTATTTCTAAAGGCACTAACTGCGCCCCTTTAATAGCAGATTTATTCCTGTATTGCTATGAATCTCAGTTTATGACCAAACTCAGTAAAGACACGTCATTGTTACATTTGGTTGATACATTCAACAATACCTACCGTTATCTGGATGATTTTTTTCGTTAAATAATCCAGAGTTCTCTAAATATACTACCGAAATTTACCCAAAGGAACTTACTTTAAATAAATCTAACATAAACAGCAGTAGTTGTCCTTTTTTAGATTTAAACATTTTAATTTCTAAAGGGAAACTCCATACTAAAATTTACGACAAAACAGACGATTTTTCATTCCCTATTGTTAATTTTCCTTTTTTAAACGGCGATGTTCCTTTGGATCCATCATACGGTGTTTATATATCTCAACTCGTTCGTTATGCCCGTGTGTGTAATGATGTTATAGATTTTAACGAACGTGATCAATGCATCACTGGTAAATTATCAAGTCAGGGATTTGGTTACCATAAATTAATTAAAACTTTTACTAAATTCTTTCATAGATACAAAGATTTGAAAAGTAAATTTGGGTGTACCTGTAGAAAACTTATTAAAAACGGTATTTCACATCCTAAATTTAAGGGTAATATTGTACTAAAAGCGCGGAAAGCACTTTGCGATCCGTGTAAACTCATCGAATCTTTAAACAAACTTATTAGTAAAGGTTATCTTGCCAATGTTGTAATAAGATCTTTGTATATAGTTTACATTGGCACAAATATCAATTTTGTCATCAGCAAATTAAAACATAACTAAATTTGTATTCTTTTCAAACGTTTTTTTGGGATGTATAAATACACATCCACGTTCATTTTCTATATAGAGATTACTCTATCTATATATAACATTATATCTATTAAAAGGTTAACTCCTAACTATTCTACTGCCTGTCGATATTTTTATTTTGGCATTGCGCAAGTCATGTCTTCTTTGACTGTCCATGACGTTAAAACACTAAATCCCTGGGATGTGTTTTAGTTGATTTTAGTCTCTGATGCATGATTTTTTATTATTAATTGTTTTTGGCTTTTAACTAGCTTTCAGTAACTGCGAGCACTCTCAAATCGTAGTGTTATTTGACCTGTTGATACAATTTGTAATGTATTTTTGTTATATAATGTTTACTTATTTAGTGTTATATCTCGTCTCACTTTTTTTAATTTTTACCACCATTGATAAGTGTTTAGTATGACGATAAATTTTCACTTCTGTTCTCGTACTATGAACAACAAAATTATTTATTTTGTAAAAAAATATTTCCGTACTCCATGTATACCTGACAACAAAATTATTTTTATTTACCTGTGTACGTGATTTTATTTGGCGGCATTTTGTCCTAGGTTATGGTTGTCTTTCTGATATTGTTTTACAACTTCCCCCCTTGTTTTATTAATTTTGTATTTACATTGTGTCATAGATCAAATATTCGTTCAGTGTATGTTCACTTGTTTTTGTTAATATGTCTTTTGATTGAGTTAAGCCATTGCAATTGATATTTTATAGTGTCTTTCTATGTTGTGATGTTACACTATTGTCTCAGGTTAGGGTGAAGGTTGGCGCCTATTAAAACGTTTAAACCCGCCACATTTGTTTGCACCTGTCCTAAGTCAGGAACCTGATGTTCAGTGGTTGTCGTTTGTTGATGTGGTTCATAAGTGTTACTCGTTTTTTATATAGATTAGACCGTTGGTTTTCCTGTTTGAATGGTTTTACACTATTTTTGGGGCCCTTTATAGCTTGCTGTTCGGTGTGAGCCAAGGCTCCGTGTTGAAGGCCATACTTTGATCTATAATAGTTTACTTTTACAAATTGTGACTTGGATGGAGAGTTGTCTCATTGGCACTCATACCACATCTTCTTATATCTATTTGTAAACTATTATTCATTGTGATATATTTAAATTAATCCTAATAATTTGAAATTTAGCTAGAAATCGGGGTCATTTTATGCCCTTATCGAACTTACTCCTTTGTTGGTGTTTAATGCGACTTTCACCACTATTGGCTATATCGTGGCTGTCAGTTTTGATTGGTGGAGGAAGCCAAAGTGTCTGAAACGAACCACGGACCTTTGACAGGAAAACTGACAATCCAAGTCAATTAAAATTTATTGAAATGCACATGCAATTTACAGGATTCGAACTCACAACCTTTGTATTGACATGCTAATGGAAAGAATAGAAGGAAAGCGCGTATAGACTACTGTTTTGTATGATCGTGTAGAAAAATTACATAATAAATAAGAAAAAATATCCAAGATGATTTACAAATATTGCTTCACACAAAAATTAAGAAAAAAGAATAAAGGCAACAGTAGTATACCGCTGTTCGAAACTCATAAATCTATAGAGATAAAAACAAATCCGGGTTACAAACTAAAACTGAGGGAAACGCATCAAATATAAGAGGAGAACAACGACACAACAAAAACACAACATTAAAATGTAACACACACAGAAACGAACTATAATATAACAATGGCCATTTTCCTGACTTGGTACAGGACATTTTAAGAAAAAAATGGTGGGTTGAACCTGGATTTGTGGCATGCCAAACCTCCCGCTTTTATGGCAACGTCAAACACAACACCAAAAAGACAACATCACATGACAGGACCACAATACAAATAAATGGGAGAACATATAGGACAAAGAAACACACGAATAATAGCTAACAAAAGGTACTAGGCTTAAAATTCAATACGCCAGACGTGCGTCTCGTCCACACAAGACCAACCAGTGACGTTCAGATGAAAAAAGTTTGAAAGCCAAAACAAGTACAAAGCTGAAGAGCAACGAGGACCAAAACTTTTAAAATGAGGGGATTCTTGTCCCATGTTCCTGTGGCCAAGAAGCCCATATGCCAAATATGATATAGTGAGGTCCATCGGAGAATCCAATAAAGCAAGTTATATATTTGATAGTGAAACATAACGAAATATAGAAAAATAGTACTTTTATTTTATTTTCTGTAGCGTAGACAAACGATTCCTTTGCTTAGTTTTGCAAGTAACTTCTGGTTTTTTTTACTCACAAGAAGATTTTATATTTCGACGAAGGGAAACATTATGTTGTTCTAGTAATTCGTCTTCTTGTTTTTGTTTTCTTCTTAAAAAAACAATCTTTTTTCATCGTTTGACATTGGCTTATGAGTTTTGTGATGAAGTTGTATTACATATACCATGATACTATGTGAAACATATCATCGTGACGTTAATTGGACCCTAACATTTGGTTGACCTTGAATTCTGTTTCGTAATATATTTTGTTTATCTTGTCTAGGATTTTGATAGTTTGCACTCCGGTGTATTATCTTTAGACAATGTATTGTGGTTGACGAAAGCATTTGGCCTTGACCTGTGATTACCAAAAAAAAACAAATATTTGACTTTTTAAACGATGAAAAAAGATTGTGTTTTAAGAAGAAAACAAAAACAAGAAGACGAATTACTAGAACAACATAATGTCTCCCTTCGTCGAAATATAAAATCGTCTTGTGAGTAAAAAAAAACAGAAGTTACTTGCACAACTAAACATAGGAATCGTTTGTCTACGCTACAGAAAATAAGATAAAAGTACTATTTTTCTAGATTTCGTTTCGTATCACTTTCGTATATAACTTGCTTTATTGGATTCTTCCATGGACCTCACTATATCCTATTTGGCACATTGGCTTCTTGGCCACAGGAACATGGGACAAGAATCCCCTCATTTCTTTTTTCTTATTTTTTGTGTGAAAGCATTTTTTGTAAATCATCATGAAAATTTTAACCTATTTATTGTTTAATTTTTTAACACAATCCTACAAAACAGTAGTCTATACGCGCTTTCCCTCTATTCTTACTACTACCACTAGCACGTCAATACAAAGGTTGTGAGTTCGAATCCTGCAAATTGCAGGTGCATTTGAATCAGATATTAATTGACTTGGATTGTCCGTTTTCCTGTCAAAGGTCCGTGGTTCTTTTCAGATACTTTGGCTTTCTCCACCAATCAAAACTGACAGCCACGATATAGCCATTGGCCAATAGTGGTGAAAGTCGCGTTAATCACCAACAAAGGAGTAAGGTCGATAAGGGCATAAAATGACCCCGATTTCTAGCTAAATTTCAAATTATAAGAATTAATTGAAATATAACGAATAATAGCTTACAAATGACTAGACAGAAAATATTTCTACGTATAAGAAATTTTTTAGTCACTGGTGGATAGTTGTCTCATTTGCAATACAAACCACACCCCTTTGTCTTAATATCATTTAAGTCAGACGATAGTTTGAATAATGTGCCAGAGTATTTTACGTTGTTCGTTTGAACTGTTTCTTGTGATTCTTAAGATGATCTGCTAATTGACGACTTAAAGTGTCAACTTGCAGATTTATTTGGAATTTATCTATTTTACATATAACATATTATCGTCCTGAATATGCATGTAATATTGGTTGATGGACGTTAGTCAACAATTCTTATCATCTTAGATTTCCACCAACAAAAAAGATCCGAAGTTTTTTGTTTTAACATATCAAAATCTAAAAACGAGAACAGTTTCGTTTTTTGTTTTTCGTTCTTTGATTGATCAGATCCAAAAACAGAATGACACAATAAAACATGAATTACCCTGAACTATATGTTTGTGTACAATTTCCTCCATATCTTTCCCATATCTTTTGGGTTGAGAACAAATCTTTACTACAAAAGGGATGATTTTAGCTTCTCAATTATGAAATTTCTATGTCCATATAGACTCATTCAAACATCGCCTGCATATTGAGTATATATCGCCCATTCGAGTCGATTTTTAAGATCTTGCGTTTCCTATCATGCTTCCTGGAAAGAGGGTTTTTGCATAGAAGGAAGCAAGTGGTTAAGATGATGTCAACCTTACAATCAAGAGTTGATAGACCGTTATGGAATATCTTTGTTACAAAAGACCATGTATATGTTCACAATCCCGTCCTTTTTCCACGATTAAAACGGGTTAACATCATCGAATGTGACTTGTCATCTAATTTGGCACATACCTTGACTTAGCTTTCAGTAATAAAGATATCAACAAGTTATTATTTTATTCATTTCAAATAAGAACAATTATTTCTGTTTTCAAAGTATCATCCTCTATATCGGTAACTTCCACCGTGATATTTACCGCCATGACCACTGTGCTGTAAATACAAATTCATGTATATTTTAAGTCAGTTGTGTTGTATTTCTGTGATGCATGTTTACACATTTTTGGCTGCTGTATCCAAAGTATTGTCATATTAACGAATTATGTTTGCTTGGGTTGCTCACCCAATTGTGTCTATATAACTATAAACAACTGGCTTCGCTAGCTATAAAATCAGGTTTTACCCACCATAAATATTTGTTGGTCCTGTTAACAGGAAATTATCTTTAAAACTCGTCATTTTCAACTTACCAGATTTACCCCTAAGATTCATGTTGATATGGAATGGTCAGTGCTATGGGATCTTACGCAATTCGATTGGATGAATTCAATATTGATTGACCTTTACTGGTTGTCTTTTCGAAATTTGTCATGGGTGTAATATGTCAGAACTGTAAATGTTATTAGATACCAATAATTTTTAATAACGACAGGGATGGAAATTCTAGGTTAGAGTTAATCAAGAAATAATAAAATTACTTTTGTTTGTCGATTAACTATTATAGTCATGATCGTATTTCTAAAATATCATTTCTGAGTCGAATCATTTTATGTCATAATTGATATTTATCCCAAACAAAACCAGTGAGGAAATGACGTCAAAAACGGTCGATCTGCATATTTGTTAACATAAACATGTCAATTTGAACATTGAAAGGTAGTTTTTATCTTCCTCACAAAATTTAGTCATACACTATAATAATTTTCATATAGCATCAGCACCTTTTAAAACATTTTTGTTTTGTTTTTAATAGTTTAAAAACGTCATACTGATGCAGAAACAGATAAATTTATCCGTTCAAGTTTATTATTGTATTATTTGTTTCTCTATTATATATTACTATTGTATTCACGTTGATTGCAGATATTTGTGTGTATCTATTCCAAACCTTTTATTATATTCGGAGCATTAAGAGGCTGACAAACTTTAAACACACTTGAATACCGTGTGACATATATATTTATTGTCTTTTGTCGCTGGATAGCTTTCACATTCGTGGGTATAATTCATAGTATTGAAATTCACAGATTAACAGATGAGAAAGTTGTTATTGACAAAAGCTAATTTTTTTCATATTAACTAAGATAAAGAAAGAATAACATATTTTATCAATATATTTAAAAACCAGTCACTGACAAAAAATTCGTATAATTTTAATTAGAATATGATAAGCAGGTGTATTCCGTATATGAAAAAAAAACAGTTTTCCTAAATCCTAAAATAGATAAGAATAGTCTCAACTTACCCCTCCACCAGAATGTCCTCCACTTCCTTTATACCCTTTAAATCCTTTCCTATATTTTCCAGAGGCAGCTGTAATTATCATTATATTGAATAAATTATCTATGTTTATCATCAGAGTCGATACAAAGAATATACGATAGATAACTCATTTGCTTACTGAGTACAATTTCATTTAACACAATCTGTGGGAACATTATTCGGTTTTTTAAACTATTTCCATAAAAGTCTCGCGTGGGATCTTTACCTGGGTAGGGGGATAGGTTTGGTTTAGATTTTTTTTTAATATCTTTATGTTCTGAAAAGAGCATTTTAAAAATAACCATAGAACAAAAAGAGTTTTGGGGCATCAAAATTATTTAAACCTTTGAAAAATTAGTAAAACTTTATGTACGAAAATTAATTAAAAATTTGTCTTAATTATGTATAAGTATTGAATTTTGCATTTTAATGTTTAAATTGATATATTCTGAACTTAGATGAACGTTTACATTATATATCTTTATTCGAGCTTTGTATTTATTCACTAAAAATTCGTCAGTTTTGGGACATTGTAGGTAACTAGTTTGTATTATTTGCAAAAACCAAAATTTATTAATTGGACAAAAAGGGGAGAAATAAAAAGTGGCAAACAAATACTACATAGCGTCGATGAAAGATGGATCACACCATGGCTAAAGGAAGGATAAAAGCATAACACATACATCTTGATTGAAAGCAAAGCCTCACCAATGTGACTCGATGAAACATTTGTCGATGCAATGTTCCTGACAAGTGGACACTAGATATGTACAATTTTTAATGATAAATGAAACTTTAAAAAGATGAAATGACAATACAAATCGAGACAATTTGAAGCCCGGTATTCAATACCATTGTTGCTGCTTTTGTCTACTTACCAACTGGCATTGTAACTGTTGCTACCATCAACAAAGCAACAAGGACTATGATTCCGAATAACTTCATGTCTGTCTGTAAAGCCTGTCTTTTAACACTTCACTGTGACGATTATATTGAGGCTGACGATGAGTATGATTCAGGACAAGTTTATATATCCAGTGTGATAGAAGCAGCTGGTTGGTACATATAAGTTATTACAGGAACTTGATATTGTTTTAACATGTTTAACAACGTGTGTTTAAAATGTCAAAACCCATAGCAATGAAAATTCTGCAATATACATTGTGCCAGTATTTGCATAAAACATGGCTTAAGTTGTATGAAGACGGTATACTTAACTTACAGCGTGTTTTAAATTAATCAATAAATATGTTTATATATAGAAATTGTGTTACCAGGACTATTACACTTTTCAATGATTTTTTTTATTTCTAATTTAATTTATTTATTTCATTAATTTTAATTTAAACAACGGCTATCATATTACGTTGGCAAACTTTTTTCAAGTAGACACCATGAGGATGATAGCAACAATATATTGTGTTAATTACCTAAATCGTTCCAGAGAAAATATGTTAAGAAATTCTTTTGAATTATCATGTTGATAAGGAAACCTTAAATCTCATATTGTGTCCATATTGTACAAGTGGCGGGATTGTTGACAATTTTTTCAAACAAATTTATCTTAAGGTGGATCATTGGTATATATTTCCTCAGATAGAATTTTGTTATACTTTGCCAGAATGTGGATTTTTTGCTTTTTTCAAAACTATACAAAGAAATCAATGAGATAGAATTTTGAAATAAAATATCAGAAGATAGGTTTTAAAATATGCTTTAGGAAAATAAAAAGAAAAAATGGTGTCACCGACATTCTTTTCTTGCTACAAGTAAGAATTGAAAATTTCTCTATCATTCCTTCATTAAAAAATTTCAATTTGAGTTATTTCCACCTAAATGACTAAGTTGACAATTTCATTTGAACAGACACAAATATTTGATATTTGATAAATAAGTCTGTATAATGCAATAAATCAATTATTGTTCTTTATTCCAATAAACAGTCTAACCCATTAATTGCCAATATGTCTCAAAATTTGCAGATTTAAGCAAAGAACTAGACCTATTGTGAACTGATATTTTACAATACCAAGATGGCGGTATATAGTTAATCTACCTTAAGACTATCTCACTAATACGTTAATGAAATGAAATTAGATATTTTTTATATTCTAAACGAAATTTGAAAACTTTTTTTTCAGATGATTTTTTTTTTAACTAGCAGTAGTACATATGTAGAAGCAACATTAGTTGGTCAACAGTGATATCGGTGTACGTGATAACATCTACAGTATTAGTTCTATAAATTTTAAATAGTTCACAGTTGTATGCATTTGCTTCCTTGTTTTTGTTTCGTTTCATGTTGCTCAATATTTGGTTTCCTCTGCAGTACTATTTTATAGTAGTTTCCATGTTTTGCTCATGGGAAGTACATATCAAATTAAACGTCGCATTCGGTGATTTCACAATAGAGAAACATGTGGTTACGATAATTTAATCAAAATGTGTACATCTGTGATACATAGTTTCAATGACGGTCAGCCAAGTCGTGAGTGCGTCTGTAAATTTTTCGAAGAGCTAACTTCACTTTAACTACCTGCAACTCTTTGTTTAACATTTTCATTGTAAGCAGCAATGCACTGTCAATTTTTGAATTGTGTCCTTGTACGTGGCAACCGCTTATGAAATTTTGATATTGAGTATTAATTTAGTATTTTTTCTATACCCAACTGAAACATAGCTTGTCTGAATTAGGTATATGAACATGTATCAGTCGTATTTCTATTTAAGAATATACAAATAGCGCAAAATAATACAAGCATGCAAAATGTAGAGTGATACAATGTACTAAAACCAAGGGACAATCACAAACTATTCGTTGAAAACAGACAATCACACTATTACCAAAAGAAAAAAAGGAAGAACACCCAGGTAACAGTTCTCAAAGAATTGCAAACAACACAAGTTATTGTCCCGCAAGAACAAAACGAAATATCTGGATGACATTTTGTGCTCTGAAATCATAAAATGTTCTGCAATAATAGAAGTTGTTAGTGAGGAGTAAAAATGCGGTAATAAGTCGCATTCAGGATTATAACAAACTAGAATTAGAGTATTAGGTTATAGATCATGCAGTAGATCATATCTGTTGATATCTGTTACACAATTATTCTATAGAGGTTACCCAAAATCATGATGGCATCTATAAAACAATTATGAAATTAATGTAATTTTATCATAAAGAACTTGAAAAACTAATTCAAATATTTTGAATCTGAAGTCGTGTCTACCGTTGGCGCTTTAATTTTATATATTAATGTGAAAACACAGATACAAATTCTTATAGGTTGGTTAACGTATTCGTATAATTTCAAACAAAATAATGTAAATCATTTTATTACATAAAGGATTATTCATTAAGGACACAACCTGACATTGATAAAAATAAGGTAAGTCTTAGTTAATGTTGTGTGTATATAGTAATCTTCTGTCGTAGCCTCCGTGCACTTCTACAGTTGCTTATATCAATATTGTGTAGCAATGAGTACAGATTTTTTCTGTCAAAGTGAAGTGTGCACTTTAAAGCACGCCTTGTAGACAAATACGAGATATTCAGTTTTCATACTCCGTGTTGCTCTTTTGACTATGGCTTTAGTTTATATGCCAGTTGATAATAACGTAAAATTATATAAAACTTCGTAAAATGACATTTAAATATTTCAAAAATTTCTATTGTAAAAATATTAAGATATGATATGCTTGCCAATTAGACATAGTGCAGTTTTCTAGAGAGGAGGAAGCTACCAAAGGGATGAATAACCCATAAATTGAAGACAAACTGACAATACCATTGTAAAAAAACACAGAAAATCCAAGACTGAGAAACACGAACCGCGGGTGTCCTGATGGATAAGCAGGGACCTTATTCACAAGGCATCCGTAAAGTTACCGCACCCGTTAACGTTGCGGAACGGTGGCGGAATTGTAACTTTTGTATTCACAAAAGCTGCGGAATTTTGCATCCGTAACCGTTGCGGAATATTCCGGAAATACCTGAGAATATTTACGGGACGTCATGACTATCCGTAAACGTTGCGGAATAGGGCACTTGTGTAAATTTTAACAACTTTTACTTTTACTCCAGTCTATTTCTTTGCAATCATTGTTATGAAAGTGGAAAGTTATGAGATACTCTAAAAATCCCGTATTAGGGAAGCCCATTTAGGACCTCACAAAAATATAATTCGAATTTTATTTCACGAATTAAATTCGTTATAATGAATTGTAGAATTCTATATCACAGATTAATTAGTTATCATGAATTTATGGAATTAGTTATAACAGTTTTTGTAATTCGTAAATGAAGGATTCAATTCGTTATCACAATATTTTGTAATTCGTTATTACGATTTAATCCGTAATCATGAATTACAAAAATTGTGATAACGAAACTAATTTCGGAAATTCGTGATTTCGAATTCAAGTATATAATTTTGGGAGATCCTAAATGGGCTTCCGTAAAAAGTTAAATAGAATTATCATTTAGTAAAAGCGTGATGGTTATTTAAGCGATAGTATTCAGCAAACAAGCTTAGTTGCAAATACATTTTGAACCCGCTTTTTTAAGTTCCTGGACAATCATTTCTTTTTGGTCTTAATAAAAAAAAACTATAATTATTCTATAATATAGATCCTACAGATACCAACAATTTTTTGTTCAAATTAAATGTTGCTTTTTGTATCAATTTTTTTTAAAGGAATACAAATTATATTTTTCACTTCCCTTCTGAAACAAATGATGTTTTTCTCAAGATATTAAGTTGCAGGAACACTATTAGTACGCTTAATCTGTGGCTCTAGATTATCTCTCAAATTGTCAATATTTTACAGATAAGTCTCTTTTGAAATATTCTCCAAGTTCTATGCGTTCTGTCAAGGGATATTCTTTTTCTTCGTAGTGTGTTATTATATAAATAACGCATAGCTGTGAGGGTGATAGAGCAGATGGCTACCACGAGAAAAACATTGTCAACCGAGTTATTACAAAAACAACAAAAGTGAAGCCTGAGAACGAAACGTAGAA